TCTGTTTACAATAATCTATTCTTAGACACAGGAATCCGATAAAGCTACGTATACCTGTATAAAAATACCTGAGGACGCGACATAACAGTGCACGGTTGGTGCGCGCACTAGCGTAACTTAACTTTGGGGAAATAGGCATAGCAACCCGCCATACCTCTTTATGATAAAACAAATACAGCAAGCTCTTAAATACCCAATCAAATAGGACACGTCAACACCATATGTTGGGTAAAGCAGGCATATTACTATCAGGAAAGGGAAATTTCACAATTGAAAAATCGAAATAATCACGCTTCGGGTAAAGTAAAGTTATAGGAGTGAGAAAAAGCCACCTGATAGAGTAGTACATTTTGCCTTATTGTAAATCTTGGTAATAAGATATCCCTGTTGGTCATGTTGTACGTAAACATCGAGGAAAGCGGCTGAAGCAGATGATTATGAAATGCCTTTTATTTCAGGTTTAAGTTCCATGCAATTGACGTGATATATAGATTTCTTGTTATAGCTTCAGGACAGTGCATCATCGATATATCAGAAAGTGAAATTGAAGGGCTATATTGACAGCCGGATAAGCTCACATATCTGAAAACAAAAAAACAATTCAAATTGGAGAAAGACACAGAAATGTCAACAGTCTGCTTACCATCGTGCTCTAAAACAATATGTCAACCGGGAACTAGATTATCTCATATCGGCTTTTGTCGTTCGCATTTTTCAATAAATATGCTTAAAATACTACAGAGAACACCCTAATATTGATATCGCCGTTAACATCAGTTATATCCTACCTCTGACAATACCGACATACCGTCGTACCGTCGATACAGAAGTAACATAGCTACGTCTTACAGGTATTCTAAACCCATCGCTTCTTCGATAGGAAACTACATACAAGCACTGCAACAGCTTACCTTCAGCATGTTCTTGTTCCGTATTCCCATACAACTATGGTCCAGGGCTCTTCGATAATCCAGCGCCCCTGGGATATGTCACAGCAAAATTGAAGGATCAGTACTAGTGTGCGCCACTTTTTTGACGAGACAAGAAGACCAGTTCGATCCTGTGATGTACATCAAAAGAATCTCGCGGTCACGTAACGGTAACATTGACAGGCTGTAAAGTCGGATGTTGCTCCTTTGTAATCTTCAAAGGGCAGGTATCAGCCTAGCGATTGGTCAGGGTTTTTCACCTGAGAACAATCAAGCAGCTATCTTCGTGCATTCAATTTAAAGAGAACAAAAGTGAGCGTAACCCCTGGATATCGAGGATGTGGTCCAGCTGGACAAGTAAAGATGCAAAACTACGAGTGGAGAGACGCCTACTATCACTTGCAATGTGAGTTCCAAGATACTTCTGGATTCTGTAGAAGACTACGCCCGTCAATGGGCAAAACGAGAGCAGGCTGATTTAGATCCAATTTCAGAGATGATAAAATATATCATGTCGATCATTCAAAAAAAATTAGCATAACAAGAGGCCCAATGGGCCTGTATCGTTCACCTGGTATTAATCTCACACGTGTTACCTGTAATCTTGAATATAAGTCAATGTAATTCATTTTAACAAACTTAGTAGCACTTTATTCAAGCATGCTAATGGCCAAATATAAACATTCTGAGCCTTACTGAGCTTCAGTAGAAGTCGTTTAAAGATTTTGAACATATTTGATCCATGTGACCTTGAATAAATATCAAGGACATTCATTTGAACATACTTGGTAGCCCTTCATAACATTATGTTAAGGGCAAAATATCATCATCCTGCACCTTTAGGTTATTCAGAAGAAGTTGTTTAAAGGTTTCAAACATATTTGACCCCTGTCAAATTGAAAAGAATTCAAGGTCATTCATTTGAACAAACTCGGTAGCCCTTTATCACAGCATGCTTCTGGCCAAATATAAACATCAACAGTCTTTTTGGTTATTCAAAAGAAGTCGTTAAAAGATTTAAAACATATTTGACCCCTGTGAACTTGAATATAAGTCAAGGTCATTCATTTTAACAAAGTTGGTAGCCCTTCATCCAAGCATGCTAATGACCAAATATCAACATCCTGGTCCATTTGGTTATTCAGTAGAAGTTGTTTAAAGTTCTTTTTTAAACTATTGACCCCCCGTGACCTTGAATATAAGTCAAGGTCATTGATTTGAACAATCTTGGTAGCCCTTTAGCTCAGCATACTACTGGCAAAATATCATCACCCTGGGCATTTTGGTTATTCAGAAGTTGTTTAAAGTTTTTAACATATTTGACCCCTGTGACCTTGAATATGGGTGAAAGTCAGTTATTTTAACAAACTTGGTAGCCCTTCATCCCATCATGCTACTGTCCAAATATCACCATCCTGGTCCTTTTGGTTATAAAGAAGAAGTTGTTTAAAGTAAAATATTGACGCCGGACGGATGACAGATGGACGACGGACATCGCACCACGGCATAAGCTCACCTGGTCGAAGCATAAGCTCACTTGGCCCTTCGCCCAGGTATTGTGACACTGTATATACCAGAGGACTTAATTGAACGTAGGTTTTGAAGAACTCGAAAGAATCTCTCCTAAATATCCACTATTGATCACAGACCATACATGCAAAAGGAACGCTTTCGTTGTCTTATTATGAGAGCATTCCTTCCAAGAAAAGCGAATGTTGATACAAAAATTTGCTTGCCAAACATTTTCGAGTATAATTTGTCAATATACTGACGTTGAAATTGTGAGAATGACTGAACTCCCGTTTGACAATATCGTGTTGAGTGCGATGGCATGATTTTCAAGCAAGATACATGGATACTTTTACGATCAAACTGTGACCCTCTTGTGGCGATTTGTTTTGTTTTCATATTATAAGGACTGGTAACAAAGATCTTGCAAAGTTTTTCTATTTCATTTTCGGATTTAACGGAGATGTGTTGTCTTTAAATAACCAGAAAACCAGAAATCTATTGACGACATCGATCGTATATACCGGACTGGAAAGCAAGGATGCTACAGACTCGTCTACATCAGCCCCTTTTATCTATCATTACGTACAACATGACCAGCAGAGTTGGCTTACTTAAGAGTTGTACGATAAGCGTGACGATTTTGATTTTCTGTTTGTGAACTTTCCATTTCTTGATAGTAACCTCCCCAAATTTCGTTGCTAACATGTTGCAGTAAAATGCTTGCCCCGAGTATCATAATTTGTGTGAAATCATAAAGACTGTGGACGGACAAGCTTACAACACTGGGTTTCCAGGTATGCAAGTCTATGGAGATTACATGCAAGGAATACGGTCACCACCATGATGCCATTGGGACATATGCTATTTCTTTGTGTGATATGAAGGACGCTGTTTTAGATTGAACCTTTTCAGCGTCTCAATGTACACATTTTACTTGGTTCATATTTTGCCCTATTTTTATTGATTTTGACATCAAATGACGTTTTTTGTTGAGACTTTGGTATTCTTGTTTTTTTGAAGAGACATCTCTCACAATAAGAGAATGATTGCGTTCCTTTGGTTTGGTAGTGTATTGATTGAAAAGAATCCAACATTCAGATAGAAGAATCACTTTTGACCACAGGATCGATCAAATCATACCTCGAAGTTTTTTAAACTAACATTCCATTAGTTTCACCTCCATATTATACAGTATCACTATTGTAAGCCTGATTTAACGGTTTTAAGGATAAGAGTAAGAAGTTTAGACAACGGCCTGGTTGAGCAACCAGCAGATCCAGCTATAAAACTTTTTGTTTAAGGATTATCTTAAGCTTCCTAATCTGGCTTATCTCTTTATCATTAACTAGTATTCCGAAAATTATATCACAAATTCATGGTTAGCTAGTATTTCGTCCTTTGAAAAATTGAAAAAAGAAAAATCACAGGAATGAATTGTAACAATGTTTGCAGACAAAAATCTTTCTGCTTAGACAATTGCAGATTTCTGTTATGATTTCTGTTTGCATTTCAAGCTAACTCTTTCTGTACGATGGATATGATCGTTTAGTCAGTCTGAAAGTGAAACCAATTCAAATGCTCTAGAATAACCAATCATCATCCAAATTAAATTTCAAGGGAGGTAACAAACCCCATTCCCAGATATAACGTGTAAGACAATGAAGCACAACTCTTATCTCAAATCACAGGTATGATGTATTGGGCAGCATGAGACTGGGCCATGGTTAAAGTTTAGCACCATTGGCGTTTAACATTGGGTATTAGAGTAAAACTACAAGCAAGAGAATGTGTGTTTTGTTTTACAACATACAGTAGAATATATTCTAGGTCTCTGGAGATATATGAAAGTTTCAACATTTACTTTTTTTTTTTTAATTAGGAATATTGGCATTGACAGTTACATAAGTAAGTTTACACCTTCCTTTGTTATCTTTGTCTTTGTTATCGTTAAGGCCAGGACCCCCACCCCTGATGTCCGGTCATTGCCTTAAACGGTAGGAAACTTTATTTAGTGTGTCTACAGTCAGGAATCACATTTTTACTCAACTTGAAAAAGTAGAAATATATATGTGAGGTATAGCTACTTATATAGAGCAGGCACCTTTTAGATTGCTTATTGACTGGTAACGGGGCGAGTCTGAAGCTGCTGTATGTCACTCTAGTATTTATTGACTGGTAACGGGGAAGGTCTGAAGCTGCTGTATGTCACTCTAGTATTTATTGAACTGTGTTACAAGTTTCTTTATTGAAAACAAGGAAAGAGGAAGAAAACGGTTGGTTTTATCACTTTTATTTGGTCTCTTCATGACAGTTAGACTGCAACTATCTACAAAATAGCATTTCTCACTCATATCTCAGATACAAAACACATCAGGCTGTCTATATATATAGATCTGTACACTATTTGTTCAAAACATAATTAGCACACATTTGACATCAGTCCATAAAAATACCAGGGCCTGTAATCATGAAACCGTTCTCATGCTCAATCATGGATTTTGTGCTCAAGCCTATTTTCTTGTTCCGGTTATAAATTATTTAAATAATCTTATTTTGTCAATTATTTTGAAAAGAATTGAGACTTAAAAGCCGAATACTGTTTTCAATGTTTTCAATTAAATTTTTGATCATTTGAAATTATTCAAGTGGGTTACTAGAAAGCTAGGTTGAGCACAGAATCCATGCTTGAGCATGAGAACAGTTTCATGAATATGGGCCTAGAAATCTTAGTTACACTTGGCTTATTTTTATTATAAAGTCATTACTAATTTTTTTCGAAGGAACCTGAATTTCTATTTGGTCAGATTTTCAATGTTGGTTGTGATCAAAGCTTGATATAATATTTAATTTGTTATCTCAATAAAAACTATGCTGAACAATTTACTTGTGTACATTTAGTAATATATGTCTAATCACTATCAGTATTCCTAGCAGAAAACATTCCCAAATTTTCAGGTGACCTGTTTTCAATACTGTCTTTAAAAGTCAACTTTCCTTCCCAAAAATCCATGACTTATTTTCAAATAATTTGTTCTATTAAAGGTAAACATGTACATTTGAACCCTTTGCTTGACAAACGAAAATTTGTTTTATAAGCTTGCACTATAAGTTTTCAATTACTGTTCAAAACAAACTTAGCATTTATTATTCATGATGAATCTTATTTCGAATGTTTGGTATGATGTTTCCCATCAGAACCGTCTAAAAAAATACCATTTTATGCAAATTGCAACTCTGCCACTTCAAAGGACTGTGATGTCATTTTTGACATGGCTTATCCAAGCATCTAGAAAGAGGAATTAAGAAATCCAGGTATCATATGGGAGAAACAATTATAATGTATAGATTTATGTTTATTTTAAAGAGGAAAATTATCTTGAATTAGAAACATGATTTAATGAATATCACCTCCTCATCAATAAATTGTCGAAAGAAAAATTGTGAAAAAAGATTTGTGAATATCAAAAAGTTGACAGCAAGTGAGAAATACATGGTAACATTGTTGCTATTTCTTTCTATAAATGTGTTCCTTTGGGCAATAGCATCAGGTGAAGAGGAATTGATTTCCTGTGTTATAAACAAAGGAAGACAACTCTTCTTGGGTCATCATATGAGATCATTTTAATAAGAACAAAAGCGGTAGGACCTATTGCCCCTGTTCAACATAGTAAACTAGTCCACATTAAATGGTGGGTTAGTTTATGTAGGTTTAACAGGGGATGTAAATGAATTATATCATTGACATGGTCAAGTCAATTAAAATAAATGTAAATTATAATTATATATATATATAATTCATATATTTATATGAAATATTTTTTGGACTAGATATATTTATTAGGAACATATATATATATAAATTTTATGTTTTACATCAATATTGCAGACATTAATTTTCTCTTTAACACACACAAACATCCACACATTCAAGTCCAGCTTCCATTTACAACAAACAAACTCACTATGTGTATCTATTATGTAAATTATGTTAGTATTATGACATTTTATTCTTCATGCTCTTCACCCAGAGCAGTTTAACTGTAATTTTCTCCCAGCTTTACTGCCTTCATTGTCTTTTTAAGATCAGCAAAGTAGGATTTCATCTTTCTTCTCCAGAACGCTTACCATTTTTACCAAGTTTAGGAGAAGCATCACTAACAGATGTGAGGGGAGACAACTCTTGTTGACTCAACGCCTTGTCGCAGTGTGTCAAAAACACTGCTGTACATTTCTAGTCAGTCCACACTTAGCGTGCAGCTGAACTCATTATGATCTCAGAACTTCATGGCTGATCATTTCTTAAACATCTCAGACTTTTGTGACAATAATTTGCCAACAAACAGGAATATACTTTGTCTATAAAAAGTTTGTTAAAAAAATAACATGTCCACAAACCTGGTTGCTGACGCAGCACAGCGAACATCATACAACACTGGTTCCTCCGACAAGGCTTCTTGATCATGGCGGCCAACAGACCTCATCACTTTTGTTCCACAAAGTGCTGACACTTCCACAGTTTGACACGTATTCCCTTTGATGTAGCACTAAAACAACAGTCGATCTTACACTGTATCAGGAACAATATACTCCCTTTGATGTAGCACTAAAACAGTCTATTTTACACTGTATCAGGTACAATGTATTATCAAGTTTAATTACACATTAAAAGCAGGTCAAATCAGCTATCACAAATGCTCTCCGTTACACATCAAAAATGAGATTCGGGATAAAAAGTCACGTCACTAATGCTAAATACAATGCCCTGGGCATGGTACAAATGTATTGTGTCGACAAACGACATTTGGTAAACAAATGAGTGTCCTTGAATACCAAGAACAACACTAATTACCTCCCACACTTAACAGTGGTCAACAACCAGGAGTGACCTTGACCTCTAACAACAATGATGACCTTCAAATCTTCATCACAATGACTTGAGCTACTCACAACCTCCCAAGTGGCGTTCGACATTGCATTTCGTAGTCTTTTAATAATGTTTAACAACCAGGAAAAACCTTGCTCTCACAAGACAGTCTTGTGTCCTACAACACTTCTGTTGTATACAGTAACAAGAGTAGCTCCAGTAAATGTACAACAATCTGAAGCAATAAGCACTTATTATGCCTGTATTGTTCACAAGAGAATTTTAAAGATCCAACTGCGACCTTCTACATAGTCCTTGAGGCAGGTGGTGGTGGTTCATCAGCTTCATATATTATACGTAGGTTCATAAAACCAGACCTGGAAAATACAAAAATGATTTATTTACATTTAGTTTTAAGTGTAGTTGTAATTGTTGTAAATTGACAAAACTGGAAACTCAAATCATCCAAGGTTTCTATTGCAGCTCCTGGTAAGTAATGCTTTTGTGTTTTGTTGAAGCGAGGAAGCTTTATCGAGTAAAAGGAATGATTTTGATAGCAATTGTTTTCAATTTTCTGTACTTTCTCTGGTGTTTCAGGATTCCGATGATTCCACCGTGACATTGTACCCACCGTTTCATGTAGAGCCAGATGACTGTACCAAGCAGCTCCTTGACAATGATGACAGACAGGTAGATAAGGACAATGTAGCTCGTATCAGAAATCATCTGTCGGATACTTTTCAGGAATGCATCCATCTGTACCTCCGCCACCGTTGACTCCGCCCCTGAATGTCTGATAAAAACAAAGATTATCATCATTTTACCTGTACAGTGTTTTCTTGTGAACTGAGTAATGTTATCATTTGACCTGTATAGAATTATCATGTGACCTGTATAGACTTAGCATGTGATACTGTTATAGTGTATCATGTGACTATAATATTCTTAAGTGCACTATTGTATAGCACATAAATTTCAAGGAGTTCAACTTTTACACTGTTGCACCAAATATATTTCCCTTTACATTGCTGAATATAAGGTTGATTTTTTCAGATTTGCTTTTTATTAAAGTTTTTATTTTGCCAATTGTGTTTAATTTAATGAAGCCCTAGCAAAATATAATAACGATTTTCTTTTATTTACTCTGCATTTTCGTACCCCTCATACAGCTCCGGTTCGACCTGCTGAAAGTGACAAGCTGATATCTGTATATCGTTGAATCTGGTGTTGAGTGGTTTATTACACTTGGCCTTTACGTCCAGTTGCTGGAGGTATTTACAGTAGAGCTGACCGTGGGCATCGCCGAGGACCTGCCATTGTCTCTCCACCATCTTGTACACGTAATGGTGGCGCTGTATGTGTAAGTTTACCAGCTCTTGGTATGTTGGGTACTCCATCATGTTGATACGCATCGAATGGGCCTTTATACGATTATTGATGAAGTCTTCGTTCATTTTTAGGAGATCATCCTGGAAAAAGAACAAGTGTATTGAAATTTACTTTTAAAGGAATTAAATAATACATGGCATGATATATTGGTTTGGTTTGGTTTAGTATTGTTTAACGTCCTATCAACAGCTAGGTCATTTAAGGATGGCCTCCCCTGTGTGCAAGATGCATGCGTGTAGTGTATGCGTGTGTTTTGGGAGGCTGCGATATGTTCGTGTTTGTCTCCTTGTGATAGCGCGAAACTGCATGGTGCTGACTATATAGTGCTACCTCACTGAAACATACTGCCGAAGACACCCAGCAGGATACCCCACCGGGTCACATTATACTGACAACGGGCGAACCAGTCGTCCCACTCCTAAATTGCTGAGATTTAAGCAGGAGTAGAAACTACCATTTTAACAGACTCTGGTATGTCTCAGCCAGGGGACGGAACCCAAGGCCTTCCTCACGGGGGCGAACGCTCAACTAAAGGCCAAAAGTGCAGGTAAATACTCTCTAAAAGCACCACAAAGCCAGATTTAACATTGTTATTTTACCATAAAATACAATTTAAAATCTCAGAAAAATTAGAAAAGTTAATTGCGGTACTCACAATGTTGTTGTAATATCCTAGGTAACTGAATGTCTCTCTGTTGACGAAGTGGAAGGTTGCCACGGACAACACATACATAATTAGACACACCAGCACCGTGGCTATCACCTTCGGTATAAACATACTTGATAGTATCTGGAAAAGATAATAATGTCATTTTATCATTTTCTCTCTTCCAAATATGGCAACTGGACAAATAAACTGATCAAAGGACTATGTATGGTTTGGGCCTTTTTTGGCCCCCAAATCCATCAAAATTAAAAATCTTCCATAGAACTTTCAAATGACAGTTTCTTTAATTTTGAATACTTCCCTGGTACTATTATATAAACATTCATTTAGGTTTTCAATTATGGCTGTCATGGTAACCAGTTAATATTTGCATAAATTAATGAAATTTGAATATTCAGTAAATTTTGACAGGTTTTTGCCTAGTGTTTCTCTTAGTTACCATAAAGTGCATTCTTGAACTAACTATCTATTTCTCCTAAAGATGTATTACAGATGCCTACATATTATCCTTTGATATTAAGTTTGTTCAAGCATGCACTCTACAGTTTCCAGAAGGAAAACTATGCAAAATATGACAAAATTGACTGAATATTCATTTTTTTCTTATTTATGCAAATTTGAACTTGTTACCATGGCAACAATAATTAGAAATACAAATTGATATTTTCATGACAGTGTTTGGGAAGTATTTAAAATAAAAGAAACAGTAATTTCAAAGTTCATTTAAAGGTTTTGAATTTTGATGCATTTGGGGGCTAAAACACGCCCAAACCATACACAGTCCTTTGGTTTAAATGAACAACTTAAGTGATTAAACATAAAAGTATGTCAAGACTATTAATCAATTCAAATGTTGAAAAAAAAAAAAACAATTAAATCAAATAGACAATAAAAATTCTTAAATACTTACTTTAAAGAAGAATTCCTTCATTGTATGGAAAAATCCTTGTTTAAACCATTTTTTTCGCTTCTTTATATACGCTTCACTTTCACTGGCGTGTCGGGATCGTGCTGTAATTAAGTCAATTCAACAACATTTTGAACAGAGAAATCAATAAATAAAAAATATCTCATAAAAAATATGACTTCATAGTGTACAACAGAAGCCAGTCTGATGTATGTTTCTAGATATTGGAATTAAATGAGGACAAGTGATTTTTATTAAATATCATGTCATATTTTATCAAAATTCATTTTAACCCTTTCACCCCTAGGTTACTCTACCATAAATTTATCTGGATGAATCCATTATGGTCCACAGTGGTGAAAGGGGTTAAACAACCAGGAGTTGTTTAATGCTATTACTATATGATGCCATATTGTCATCCTGATATTGATAGATTATATTATCTATGGGTGATATAGATATGTTCTATTATCTATGGGTGATATAGACATGTTCTATTAGCTATTGGTGATATAGATATGTTCTATTATCTATGGGTGATATAGATATGTTCCAGTATCTATTGGTGATATAGATATGTTCTATTATCTATTGGTGATATAGATATGTTCTATTATCTATGGGTGATATAGAGATTCTATTATCTATGGGTGATATAGATATGTTCTATTAGCTATGGGTGATATAGATATGTTCTATTATCTATGGGTGATATAGATATGTTCCAGTATCTATTGGTGATATAGATATGTTCTATTATCTATGGGTGATATAGATAGATTCTATTATCTATTGGTGATATAGATGTTCTATTATCTATGGGTGATATATATATGTTCGAGTATCTATTGGTGATATAGATATGTTCTATGATCTATGGGTGATATAGATAGATTCTATTATCTATGGGTGATATAGATAGTTTCTATTATCTATGGGTGATATAGTTTCTATTATCTATGGGTGATATAGATATGTTCTATTTTCTATGGGTGATATAGATATGTTCCAGTATCTATGGGTGATATAAACAGTTTCTATTATCTTTAGGTGATATTGATAGATTCTATTATCTATGGGTGATATAGATATGTTCTATTATCTATTGGTGATATAGATATGTTCTATTATCTATGGGTGATATAGAGATTCTATTATCTATTAGTGATATTGATAGATTCTATTATCTATGGGTGATATAGATAGTTTCCATTATCTATGGGTGATATAGATAGTTTCTATTATCTATGGGTGATATAGATAGATTCTATTATCTATGGGTAATGTCAGTCTATCATTTTTGTTGTTGTAGGGCATGTCAGCATGATACAATTAAATCCACTAATGTGTACAACAGCTTTATTAAGTATGGACATCTTTGATACCCAGATTACCTCAAATTCTATTAAAGTTCTCTACATATGTACATGTAGTTCATGAAAACCTGTAAATAAAACGTTTATACATGGTACCAGTGAGTTTGACATTAAGTTATATACGTACCTGTCTTGTCGCGGATGTCGAGGTAGATTGGATACCCAAACAACAGGAGCTGACTGATACCTATGGCCTTTAACATACGGTGAAGGAACCACACTAGGTCTATAAACAACATCAAACCAAAAAATACAAAATATCCACCATAACCAGCCCCTGACATCTTCTGGCCACCGGTCTGGGTCTCTGTCCCGTTTTGTTCGTACGATGGTTTGTTGTAGCCCTGAGGTTGGTTATTGTATATCCAGTAGTTATGTGTCTCCAGTGTTTTCTGATTGGACGTTGTCGTTGGTAACCGTTGTGACTGGCCACTGGTCCCTCCCATCACCGTGTCAGCCATACTGAACCTTGGTAGTTGTGGAGTTGGTATCGGGGTGTCTGTCACATAAAACTTTTATCTCAACGACATGGACAGAAATACACATGAAGGATTAAACTTGTTTATTTGTCAATAGCTGTCATTTCTTGTAAAATCGAGTTAAGATAGATACCCACAGGGATAAAATGTCCCAAAGTCACAAGGTGTGTCTAATTTATGTCCAAATATAAATTGGTATAGACTTTGGTGTATTGACAATAAAACACATTTAATCTAAATCCAGTTGAATAAGTGCGAGGATGAATCATTTCCTTCCAATTTTTTAATTTTTGTTTGTTTGCTCCTTTTTTACTTTATTTTATTTCCATAAAAACTACACCAATAAGACTTGATATATTATCTTGTCACATATTCAATAGAATTTTGCTGAAATGATAAGAAATTGAGAATAGGTGAATTGTGTAAAGTTTGAGCACTCGCTTGTTGACTAATCAAATCCTAGGACTTACCAGTCGTTGTATGTAAGAGGTCATTCTTTAACCCCATCCAATCAAATCCTAGGACTTACCAGTTGTTGTATGTAAGAGGTCATTCTTTAACCCCATCCAATCAATGAACGGCTTGGTGGGCAGGTTCATCATGTCCCGTAAAATCTTCACTTTACGTCGCAGGAAGTTAGCTCCTGACAGCCACTTGTTTTTCTCCACACTATCGTAGGTGTCACGTATATCAGAGGAGAAGACCTGCCTTGTGTACTTCAGGTAGTTATTGTATCGGTAACTAAAACAACAAGAAACACCAACATCTTACATACAAGTCAATCTAGTTTTTGTCCATCTAACATTTCAAACTGTAGTTATTGTATCGGTAACTAAAACAATAAGAAACACCAACATCTTACATACAAGTCAATCTAGTTTTTGTCCATCTAACATTTCAAACTGTAGTTATTATATCGGGAACTAAAACAACAAGAAACACCAACATCTTATATACAAGTCAATCTAACTTTTGTCCATCTAACATTTCAAACTGTAGTTATTGTATCGATAACTAAAACAACAAGAAACACCAACATCTTATATACAAGTCAATCTAGTTTTTGTCCATCTAACATTTCGACTGAAAAGCAGAGTTGGAAAAAATATTATCTACATATTAGTAAAAGAAAGCAGGGTTGTCAGTACATGTACAAGCACAAGGTCTAATGAGTTACCTCCCTTGTGTGTGATACAGGCCACAAAATAATCATTCATTATCTAATGTGATTTGGTGTTAAAATTTGTGAATCTTACACTGAACTTTTTTTGGAATAGAGAACAAAGGCATATTATGATTTTAAAACAATATAAGCCTGAAAAAAAATACAACTTCACTTATGGTGAGGAGCTTCTGTGTGTGGTCAGACAGGACGGTGTTTAGACCTCTGTGACCTAACAGGTGAGACACGTACCTAACGATGGCCAGACTATTGGTGAAGCTCTGTAGCAGCTGTTGTGTGTGGTCAGCCAGAAGGTTGTTTAGACCTCTGTGACCTAACAGGTGAGACATGTACCTAACGATGGCCAGACTATTGATGAAGCTCTGTAGAAGTTGCTGGGTGTGGTCAGCCAGAAGGTTGTTTAGACCTCTGTGACCTAACAGGTGAGACACGTACCTAACGATGGCCAGACTATTGGTGAAGCTCTGTAGAAGCTGCTGGGTGTGGTCAGCCAGAAGGTTGTTTAGACCTCTGTGACCTAACAGGTGAGACACGTACCTAACGATGGATAGACTATTGGTGAAGCTCTGTAGAAGTTGCTGGGTGTGGTCAGCCAGAAGGTTGTTTAGACCTCTGTGACCTAACAGGTGAGACACGTACCTAACGATGGCCAGACTATTGGTGAAGCTCTGTAGAAGCTGCTGGGTGTGGTCAGCCAGAAGGTTGTTTAGACCTCTGTGACCTAACAGGTGAGACACGTACCTAACGATGGATAGACTATTGATGAAGCTCTGTAGAAGTTGCTGGGTGTGGTCAGCCAGAAGGTTGTTTAGACCTCTGTGACCTAACAGGTGAGACACGTACCTAACGATGGCCAGACTATTGGTGAAGCTCTGTAGAAGCTGCTGGGTGTGGTCAGCCAGAAGGTTGTTTAGACCTCTGTGACCTAACAGGTGAGACACGTACCTAAAGATGGATAGACTATTGGTGAAGCTCTGTAGAAGCTGCTGGGTGTGGTCAGCCAGAAGGTTGTTAAGATTCTCTTGTTCCATCCTTGTCTTCGCCTCCCTTTCCATCTCAACCTTCAACTGTCAAAGAAAATGAGTGATCAACTCAAGATCAAATTCTAGACTTTCAGAAATCTTTGTTAACTGTGAATTAATCAACTGTTTGAGAGTGACGCATGATAACACAGCTATCACCTCTGTGTTGTTGTTACAAATTCTATTGTTATGTAAGGACTGGTTATTGAAATATGAATTTCGAGGTTGCATATCAGGAAAGTTAGGGTAGGGAGATAGAAATTATTCTATGATATTTGTTTTTCAATTGCTGGTCATTAGTGAATTATGTATTTGTTTGATTTTTTTATGTTTTTGTTTTGTTTTGACTTTTCGACTTTTCAAAATTAGACCAAAGTATTGTTTCTATAAGGTTTGTACCTCCAAGAAAATATAAGTAGGTACTGTAGGTAGCAATGTTTGTATAAATGACTTATATTTTCAACCATATTCTGATATTATTAACAATGATGATAGTCGCTTAAAACCACTTACTTACTCTTGAACTGCAATTCTTGCACTTTTGATTGTGAAAATTAAAAAAATATTCATGACCAAATAAAAGGTTTGGGGTCTGCATTTTAGGACAAAGATTCTGAGGAAGGCATGGATCCCTGCAGAAATGGTTTAAGACGTTAAAGGTGTCCAACTGTATTGTGTTGTTGTGAGTGATGGACCAATATTTTCTTATTATCTCACTGTTGTATTTGACAAGGCTGAGCTCACACTTTACATGTCCACCTAATGGCCATACAATAATCTACCTTAGCAAAATCTTCTGTGATCTTGTACATTTGTTGTTCACACATAGCCTTCGAACTGTTGGACAGTTGGTTCTGTCTTGTTATCTCTGCCAGCAGGTGGCGCTCCATGTGGTCAAGCTCTAGGTGGCTGTATGCTGACTTGACAGAGCGCTGTTGTTGATAGTTCTGGAGGAAGGCCGTGGTGTCACTTGAAGTGTAAAGGTAACAGCAATTCAGAATGTGTGATAGTACTGTGTACCGGGAACTTTTTGCTGCAGTTTAATCTTTCCTTTTTTGCCCTCCGTAATGAGGGTGAATTTTTCATTACAGCTAGAGGTGTCACGATTCACCGCGATGCACTTGTACCACGATTATTTATGTTCGATATTGATTCACGATTTTTTTCTTCTTCTGGATTGTCGATGTGTCACGATCTGAATATTAGTGTATGCTGCGAGACATTCAATTTCATTGGCTGATCTTCAATCGGCTGCGAGGATGCAATTTTCACAAAGCATTCATAACAAAATGGCGGACCGCCGCAAGGAAATGAAAATTTGTGATGCTCCGGCAAGCTTCAAATAAACAAGAGGCCCATGGGCCTTAACGGTCACCTGATATATTTATACAGAGAGTTGATTTTGTTTTTAACATGAACAGAAATATTATTCAAAGTGACAAAAAACAATAAAACCACCTTACTCAATATCTAGCATACAGATTTCAGACTAAAAAGGATTTGAAACTAGCACCTCTGATTCTTAACAAGGAAAATGAAGAAATTTTAGCACACTGACTCCTTTGAGCCCCACCCTACAGCCCTTGGGGGTAGGGCTGACTCAAAATTTTCAAAGTATCAAACTGTCGGTTCAAGGTTATAATTCCAATCAAGTTATTAACATGTAATAGGGGGAAACATGAGACCCCAGGGTCAAGAAATTCACAATTTTGGTAAAGCACCATAAGACCCTTCCATCTATGAAGAGTATTTGATTCTACCATATCTGGGTCTTGAGAAGAAGATTTTTGAAATTTTAGTAAATTCAACCCTTTTTGGCCCCACCCATCAGCCCCTGGGGGTCAGCCAGGGCTCATAGGTACATACTATCAAACTGCTACCTAATACTGATAATGCTAACCCAAATTGAATTACTTCCAATGGAAATTAAACAAATGTTGGTCCAAAATGTGATTTCCCTATATAAACTATAGTAAAGTTTACCCCCTCCCCAGGGGGAAA